CTTATCATACAATAATTTGACAGGAATGATTTTATTAGACACTCATGTTTAAGGAGAATCAATCTAGTTACTGATGTAACGAGACCAATAGGGGAACATATGAGGGAGTATGTGAAAGATTCATTCACCGTCTTTATATTATCATTCTAGGTTAGGAAGAACAGTTCCACTTTCATGCAAGGCTTACTGATGATGATGTTAGAAATCGTTGTCTATGTTGACTAACATGCCTCTGAGAAAGGTTATTCTGTTCTCTGTCATCGGGTTCCTTCACTCGCTTAAGAGAACAAGAATATTTACTTTTTTCAGAAACCAACACTTTGACTTACATTCAGCTTGTGTTCTATGGAGTAGCTTCTTTATCTCGTCGCAGGAAAGGAGCGACTTCTCTTTGTTCGTGAAGAGTTCACTGGGTTCTGAAGTTGATCTTAAAAATTCAATGTCATAAAATGATAGCTTAAGATCTTTTATATAGGGTATTTTTCATATTTAAGCCATGTTGGATTTTTCAACAATATGAGATCACAACAGAAGAAGCATAATGAAACAAAGGACGAGATTTTCAACAACAATTCTCATAATACCAAAAACTAGTGCATGATAATCAGGAAACTCTGTCAAAACTTTAAGAAGATCAGAATTCCAGTGTCATTTCAATTTTATTTTCATGTAAATCTTCGTAATAATAACAGTACGATTGAATATATCTGCCAAGTCATGAAAACTCATCCTTGTACTAAAATCTTGTAGGTAATTCGTACTCTAATTTCTCTATAAACTTGTCTACTACGATTGTAAATAAATCTAGGCGCTTCACCTGATATGTCCGTTTTACTTTGATATGGTCTTTTAGTCATTTTAGTTTCTACACATATTTTCCACTTATGTTCATTATTTTCATCATATGAAATAAAATCACATTTTATCATTCTTTTCATTGTACTATACCAATATGTCCTAATCTAACATGTCACAATGAAAAGGAATCAACAACAAAAGAAAATTCAACTTTATAATTTAAAGATTTGTCAACGATACACAATTTGATCATTCCTTCACAAGAATGGCCTTTTCAACAAATTTCCTGTTAAGGGATAATACAAGTTTACCGGACTCAAATACCCTTTTTATGCCCAATTTCCCCAAGAGATTTTCACTCACTAGATTCATATTCATGTCGGAAACATGAAATACGTTTGTTAAAGTAACGGTCTTCCTGGAAGTGAAGATATCAACATTTCCCTTGCCAATTACTTTTGATCGGACCTCGTTGCTCATTTGAATCTCTTGATCTCAATCAATTTCATGATAAATCTTGAATAATGGCTTGCATAGTTACACATGTATCATATCACCAACCGGGAACCTTTCCCTTGATAGCATTAACTTCACTAATGGTGGCCACAATGTTATCTTCTTTGATAGAATTTACTTTATCGGTGTCTACAATCCTTTTCATAGTGCCCAATTTTCCACACACAAACATCCTCATTTGGTCTTCTTTTTGGACTTGTTGAAGTTCCTAGAAGGTTTCCTCTTGTGGGATTTTGCAGGCGGTTCAATTTTCTCCGCCGCATTAGCTTTAGAAATACCTTATTCTCGACTCTTCCTCAGTGCGCAAATGTTTTTGCAATTGTTCCAAAAAAGAATATTTGAAACTATGCATTATTTTCTTCCGGTATCCTTTCAAAGTCCCGGGGAGTTTTGCAATTATAGCCCCCACTAGAAAGGTCACCGGGATTTCAATCTTTACATACTTCAATTTGTTGACTAACACTTGCAATTCATGCACTTGGGGAATCAAAGGGATATGTTTAAGAAATTAAAGTCAAAATATTTCAAAATAAGAAATTTCTTGATACCTTCTTCTTCTGCTTTGTACTTACTCTCCAAGGCGTTCCATATCTCTTTCACCGATGAAGTGTTTGTGTACAAATCATACAAACGGTCCGACAACNNCAAATCATACAAACGGTCCGACAACACTTTGAGTATGGGACCACGTCATATTATTTCATCTTCTTGGTGCTTTAGTCTTTCTGCCTTGATTGCTTCGGTTTCTTCACTTGATGATTCCGGTAATGGCGTCAAAATCTAGATCAAGAATATAAAATATCTTCAATGCTATTAATAGGAATTTCAACTAGTCTTGCAACTGCGTGAAGTTTGTGCCATCAAAATGATCCAAGTGAACCAGATCATGATTCATCAATTTTATCGTCGCCATTGTTGTTTCGCTCTTCATTGTAGAAATATCATTTGAGATTGTTGTATATTCACCGGAGTTGGAGAAGAAACAAACTAGAAAATCAGCAACAAGATGAATAAAACACGAACAAAACTAGGATCAAACTTGAAGGCTCGAAAGCATGATCGTTGTTCTCAAACGATATTTGCCCTCGCTTTAATAATATAATGTGCTTAAAAGGTTTTTTCGGCAAATGTTTTGAATGATTAATCAAGTATTGTTGTAGAAAATACCAATGTACGGAGTATTTTGTACCCAACTTGAAGAAGACGAGGGAATTTGAATATGAAGAAGAAAATGGATTGATTTCTTTTACTTAGGAATTATATATAATTTCAATAATGAAATTTCATATTTTCCAATGAACAAGGATCACCTATTTATAGCTCTCAGAAATTTGGTACGAAAGAGTGCTAAAATTATATGAAAAGCCACCAATTTAAAAAACACAACTGCTATAAAACAATGAAAAAGGGCCAAAATTTTGATCTATGCGACCGCTTAGTAGAAACCATACCGGGGCCTCAAGTCCCGGCATAAGGCCATGCTAGTTCACCCATATGGCCTCTTGTTCCACTTTTTATTTCTCAATTTTGAACAACAATTCCCAATGTATTCTTTTATGGCAATTTAGGGCGTTATCCATAATTGGAAGCTGGCCTTGGCATGTGAAGCATATTCTTGAAAGGTCATTTGGCTTTATCTTCTTTCATATCGCATATTTATAGTCTAGAGAAGGTAAATGGCAAGCAGGATTGACTTGCTAATAATCGGGACATTAAACAATCTAAAAAGAGTTTCAAAAACGTGATATCGAACTACAATTTCAAATCAATCGTGTATTATATTGTGTACAATCTACTTGAGTAACAAACTAGTATAATAGTGTGTGCGTGCGCGCTCGCAGACAAGCAACAATGCAACTCAAAGAGTTGTCATCTTCTTAAAAGATCCTGGACGGACATGGAAATATTCCCCACTCCACAACACAAAACAAAATGCCCAACTCAACCTGTTGGAAAATTCGAAATTGGCTGTAACCAATTTAAGTGATTGTTTAAGTTGAATTTTTTGTTTGGTGAATGAGANCAAATCATACAAACGGTCCGACAACGCTTTGAGTATGGGACGACGTCATATTAGTTCATCTTCTTGGCGCTTTAGTCTTTCTGCCTTGATTGCTTCGGTTTCTTCACTTGATGATTCCGGTAATGGCGTCAAAATCTAGATCAAGAATATAAAATATCTTCAACGCTATTAATAGGAATTTCAACTAGTCTTGCAACGGCGTGAAGTTTGTGCCATCAAAACGATCCAAGCGAACCAAATCATGATTCATCAATTTTATCGTCGCCATTGTTGTTTCACTCTTCATTGTAGAAATATCATTTGAGATTATTGTATATTCACCGGAGTTGGAGAAGAAACAAACTAGAAAATCAGCAACAAGATGAATAAAACACGAACAAAACTAGGATCAAACTTGAAGGCTCGAAAGCATGATCGCAGTTCTCAAACAATATTTGCCCTCACTTTAATAATATAATGTGCTTAAAAGGTTTTTTCGGCAAATGTTTTGAATGATTAATCAAGTATTGTTGTAGAAAATACCAATGCACGAAGTATTTTCTACCCAACTTGAAGAAGACGAGGGAATTTGAATATGATGAAGAAAATGGATTGATTTCTTTTACTTAGGAATTATATATAATTTCAATAATGAAATTTCATATTTTCCAATGAACAAGGATCACCTATTTATAGCTCTCAGAAATTTGGTACGAAATAGTGCTAAAATTATATGAAAAGCCACCAATTTCACAAACACAACTGCTATAAAACGATGAAAAAGGGCCAAAATTTTGATCTATGCGACCGCTTAGTAGAAACCAAACTGGGGCCTCAAGTCCCTGCATAAGGCCATGCTAGTTCACCCATATGGCCTCTTGTTCCACTTTTTATTTCTCAATTTTGAACAACAATTCCCAATGTATTCTTTTATGGCAATTTAGGGTGTTATCCATAATTGGAAGCTGGCCTTGGCATGTGAAGCATATTCTTGAAAGGTCATTTGGCTTTATCTTCTTTCATATTGCATATTTATAGTCCAGAGAAGGTAAATGGCAAGCAGGATTGACTTGCTAATAATCGGGACATTAAACAATCTAAAAAGAGTTCCAAAAACGTGATATTGAACTACAATTTCAAATCGACCGTGTATTATATTGTGTACAATCTACTTGAGTAACAAACTAGTATAATAGTGTGTGCGTGCGCGGTCGCAGACAAGCAACAATGCAACTCAAAGAGTTGTCATCTTCTTAAAAGATCCTGGACGGACATGGAAATATTCCCCACTCCACAACACAAAACTAAATGCCCAACTCAACCTGTTGGAAAATTCGAAATTGGCTGTAACCAATTTAAGTGATTGTTTAAGTTGAATTTTTTGTTTGGTGAATGAGAAATTAAGTCAAACTTAAAATGC